GATGTGGAGGATACGCGGCGTTACGTTTACTGCATAAACGTGCTAGTATCCCCAACGAAGAAGCAAGTTTTCCATTCAATATGTCAAGAACAACTAAGAATACCGGTAAAACAGCACCTGAAATAGTACTTTCCTCTGACACACCACCATTCCTGATCATCCTCAGCTGTCAAATTAGCCTCAACTTTGCGTACATGTATGCCCACTGCAGGCTTGGTGTAGTGACATGAGGCACACTTACCACGGGCGCGGTCCGGAGGTCAATACCCGGACCGGCTCCCGCATGCCAACCAATTTCTCCGTTCCGGGAAAGGTAAGTCCGTACCAGTTTCGTCTAGTAGGACAACACGTCTTTATATGCTCACGAAAACTCATCACATATATTTGTTACTATACAAATCAACATGCAAAACAACTAGTCAATCCATTAAATAGAACAACAGTAGCAAAAACCACAACAACGTTACGAACCTCATTCTAGTTTTCCCTCTCTCGCTCGCACGCTCGTTCGCCTGTATCAATTATTAAAGCCCACCATATAGTTGATGAGAGAGAAAACACGAATTGTCAAGCTTTCGCAAATCAACAAACCCACTGCTAAAGAATAACCGAAAATGGAAGAGATACGAAGGAAGTAAAATGTTAATATGAGGGCAAGTTAGGAGAATTCGTTGATATCAGTTAATAAACACGGCGATAATATGGGTCGGGCGCTCCAGCACCACGTGCGGAGCGAGGTGTACCTTGACCTGATGGCGGCGAAACCCATGCATCGTATGAGGGCCGACCGTACCCTCCGCGAGGTGAGCTGTACATGTCCTAAAAATGAAAAATCCCGCAGCTAGAAGGCTTAGACACTTGCGTGAGTTAATAAGGTGTAGGACACTAGCAACGCTCTATGACTGATTGAAAAGAATTGTGTAGCTTGAACTTACCCTCGCGTAATAAGGGGCGGATCCTCCTGGTGATCCTCCATACCCAGCACCACCTCTACCATAGCCGTATGAATATCCAAAATCGTTGTAGTACCCGGGTGGTCCAGCTGGTCCTCTTTCAACGGGTTCATCTCGTGGAGCAGCGAGAGTCACGACGATTGACGTACCGTCAATCACGAAGTTGCCAGTTCTTAATTGACAATCTTTTGTAGCGGGTTTCGGAGCTGTTTGTAACCGTCTTGCACCGACAATCTGTTGTTTTTTACAACCAAAGTTCATCACATTCTGAAGTCCATTTCCTCAGGGAGCACCATCCAAAATATACCGGCAGGGTGCCAACAGCATTTTAGTGATCCTTGTACAGATATAATGCACATAATGAGCAACTTTTCTAGTGCCCACACTATGCTCCGCCCCCTAAGCCACGCCCCTTCTAGACCCCCTTCTAGACGTTTTAATGTTTTTTGACGTATTTAATTGTTTAAAATTTGAAAAAAATGAAAACATGATTCTTATAATGCACGATATTTGCCATTTATAGATCTAATTAGTCGATAAACCCCCTCACCAATACGTACTTTGGGGGCCTTCTAAAATTCCTGCTCCTGACATTGGTTTTAACTTACCTTCTTCATTACCTGTTTCTGTGTCAGATTCCCACTTAGGCTGGGCTTCTAAAGGGTTTGAGTAAGCACTAGGGTCATTTCACGCCTAGGATTACGCGCATACGGTTCTCTTGTCATACACCGGTAGAAGAATAGGACATCGTGGCTCTTCGTCATCATAGTTACATCACGGTAACAAGTGGTCTGTCGGAAGCCAATTAGTTGACTCTAAGTTAGGTCTGATGCTGCCCTTTCATAGTACGTTGCGGATAATGGCATGATCGACTCTGTTTTGGAGACAGTTCCAACAAAAAAAAGGGGGCATGCGACGTCATCGTGTGCAGCGAGCTTACAGCGGGAATTGGGATGTGTAAATAGCGCTGCTTGGAGGGTCGTAGGGTGATTTCTGCACTCTTGCCGGAAGTGAGCTGCACATCGAATCCTGCTCACTGGGCTTGCCGACGTACCGAAATTGTCAATGGGCGCCTCTGTTAAGCGGGGGCGGGGGTCTTGTTCGAATGTTCGCAAAAGTTTTTTCGACTTTTTCTCTATTGAGGGCTCACTGGACCTGAAGCTCCTAGCAACGGTAACAACTTGATCGCACATGAAATTGTCTTCAGGCGACTTGCGATCTATGAGACAAACCCATCGAGGGTAGACATTGCTTTAATTTTGGACCGGACTGAGTTCGTTAACTGAAAGCAATTGGTAGACGCCAACAGCTGATTATTCCACTACACCTGCCGCGTCCCACAAATACAATGTCGGCAGGAGGGAACCATTATCCAAAAATATAAAAGTCGCCAAAGCTGTTCTATGAGTTTGACCGATATCAAGTAGGATGTCGCATGTGGGTCAGTCTAATCCTCTTTCGTTCAGCCATCGGATATTAAAAGGTTCGTAATTGGGATATTGAAAAAACTTATTAGAACGATCATGTGAGGAAACAACGAAATTTACGCACTTGACAATTCTCGGCTACTTCAGGGTCTGCTGTGAAAGTAACGTCCAATACCTCGGAATCGGCCGTTTGGAATATGAATGAATCAGTCACCTAAAATAGCATCAGATGTATTTCCTTGGCTTTTTTGACTTATACGTGCAGTACATGTAATAAACGCACCGATGCAGATTCTACAATCTCTTTCGCTTCTTTCTCGAAGAATTCGCGCAGCATTTTTTCAGTGATTTTCTCCACGAGACGACCGACAAATATTTTGTTGACTAATATTTTCGAGGGACCACGACTACTAACGGGTGGAAAATCGTAGCTGTCATGCTGAACTGAACCAATTTAGATGTTCACTGTGATGGATAATTTCGTTAACAACTGTTGAAATTCTCAACTGAAAGTTAATACACAGCATTGCACAGCTTCACTTCAAATTGGACCCTCTACATAAAAAATGAAGGAAAAAATGCTTCAAAATGACAGAAGTATCTTGTTTTGGGAGAACAGTTGCTTTTTTGTTTACAAGTCGGTACGTTACGCGGATCGCCACACAAATGACCGACTGTTGCTGAGTGTGCGTATCGATTCATTTGCACAGCACGGGTTGTGTAGCGAGAGATGGATGTGAGAAGCGGCGCCGGTGATGCTGGATGTTGGTACATACTGCAGCCCTTTTGACCGTAGCGGTTGCTGGCATGATGCCAACGTAGAACTCTTCCGGAATTGCTTCCCAGGTCGTGTAGAACAAGTCTTTTTGAATACTTTAGAGTTTGCATTTCCCACTACGTAGCACCCCTGCCCTATTTTTGTAGCAATATACCAAATTCGTGCTTTGCTTAACAGTGTTCAGGAAATACTACCACACTGGCACGAACTGCATTTCACGTATCGGGATCGAAGTAGTTTCTGTCGTGTCTAATCGTATGTTCAAACGGAAATATGTTCCGTATGTCTTGAAAAGTCCAATTGAGAGCATGTTAGAAGACAATTTTTATTAATGGTTTTACTAGTATGATGTATGGTATTAACGGGCACTTTCTCTAAACATCGAAAGCACCAACCTTTTCGGTTCAGTGATGCGGACCTCGCATGAGCCTTACCATCAACATGTTGACAAGCAGTGCCAGACACCTTGTCCTGTGCTTTCTACTGTGTCTATTTGCACAAAGCCGAATCTTTAGATGTACCATCGTGCGGTTTGATCGCTTTAGTGAAACGGTAAGAAAAAAAATCGGGACATACCTTTTCCCCGTTTCATCAGAATACTTTTGACCTAGACACTTTGAAATTTTTTCTCTACACTCTCAAATCCTTATAGAAGCTGCGAACCCACACGTTCTTTTATTGACCCAGCGTGAACCTGCATACAACATGGGTCCAATATTTTTTTATGTTGTGATGTGGAAAATTTCCAAATAAGCGAAGGGTTCCCGATATCCCCATAACCGTCTATAACGTTTTAGCCTCCACTGTATTGGTATGCTCAAACACAACAGCCTCTGTTGAATTCACTGTGGGGATCTCTCTCTACTACTTATCGTCGCTATGCGGAGCATGCACTGTTGGACAGCAGTTGTTCATTGGTTTGTAAAAGATCTAATGAATTTCTTGCCAAAGAACTGTCAAAAAGAATATAGCCTCAGTCTGACAGGTACACCGCTAAAACTAAAAAACCCCCTACCACATTAGGGCAAAACATTAAAGGCACAAAGAACCACAATCATAATTCACACTCACCTCTGCAAACGAGACGGGGCCGAATGTTTCGAAGTACTTTTTGAATCCTTCATCAGTAGTCTTGTAATTCACGCCCAGCACGATGAGATCAACGGGTTGGCGCTCGTTCACCAAATCTCGGTCAGCGGCACGCTTACGGCCGACACGACCCTCACCATCACTGTCCGACTCTCCATCACTTGAACCGATTTTTCGCCGCTTCACACTCACATCAGAACCTAGACACACCTTTCTCACCCCGCCCATCGCATACTTGAAATGAAATGATATTGAAGGAAAACAATGGACACTTTTTCTCTTTCTACTACATTGAAGAGACTCGATTCTATTCAAAAACATCATGGCACCTCGCTGAAAGACAACACTATCGGAAAGTCGGATGTTTGTACATTGAGAACATAAATCACTGTGTCTCGAAAGTAAGGGAAATATATCCCAGAAACCGGCAAACTCCCCAATAGGTATATGCACTTCACCTCTCCAATCAAAATCGATCTATCTCCCAAATGAAAAATTCCCAAAAGCCTTTCACGGGCTCCTCCAGACACTACTTTGACAAGGTGGGAGCAGAACAGTAGACGAGGATCGCTTGTTACTCGGAACCCTCTTCCTCCTTCACCCACGTTAGCAGCAACACAGCCATCATGAACAGGGTAACAATCACTACAAGGACTTGTATTATCTGACAGGCTAGCAGGGGGAAAGATTGGAAGAATAGGCGGGTGAGCTCATTGAGAAGAAATTCAAAAGTGAAATTCTGCTGCGTTCATTCCTTACGCCCGCGCTAGTTACATCAGGTAGGGCGATTATGTCGGATCAGCACGTGTTTTATCCACAGCACAGTCGTCGTAAACGTCCATTGTGGCGACGTGATCATAAGGTACAGTCCTCATCATTGCGGACTGTCGGGGCGGCACAGCCGCGCTGCACTGTGACGCGACAGCGGCTGCGGCTCGGTGACGGTGAATCAGCTGATTTCGATGGAATTCGGCTGCGAATTCCCACTTTTTCAGCTCTTCAAGCTTCGAAAGTGGAAGGTGAGTTATTTTGAACAATTTTAAATTGTACTGGCTCTAATTTCCTTTATTTTTATGTCTATTATTATGCTCTTTTCCTTGTATTTTGCCTTATTTCAGGCATTCAAATGGCTTGCATTCTTTCAGATTCATTCAGAGTCAGTACAATTTAAAATTGTTCAAAAACTCACCTTCCACTTTCGAAGCTTGAAGAGCTGAAAAAGTGGGAATTCGCAGCCGAATTCCATGGAAATCAGCTGATTCGCCGTCACCGAGCCGCAGCCGCTGTCGCGTCACAGTGCAGCGCGGCTCAGCCGCCCCGACAGTCCGCAACCGTAAGAGCGCATCCTCAGCTCTACACACGCGGGCCAGAGCCATAAAAACAAAAAAAACCCCAACATTGTCGAGAAATATGTGTTCGTTATTTTTTCAACGGCGAAAAGTGAACTGACATATGAGGTGCAAATGTTGTTTGTGAGCGGGTTTGTTCCGAACGGTACCTTGAGTTTCGTGCAGTATACCTGCGAACATTGCAACTACCTAGTCCAGCTAATGGTAGGTTGGGCTGCGAGAAATGAGAGCGCTAAAAGTGGAGCCACCCAGCGGCGTCTCTGTCTATGGAACCGTGCTGCGCAGTACTCTATCATCTGCGCGCCCCTCTGCTTCCCCTCCTTAAGGCTCACTCTTGAGGAGGTAACGTATATAACACGCTCAGGCAAGAATCCTCATCACCAGGTCACAGTCGTTTTCTCATACATTCCAGCCTCACCATAGCGTGTTTTGTGGTGTTACGAATGGAGGGTCCCGTTAAACTACGTTAGCACGAAACGAGTTTAATGAAGAAGGGCTCCTCCCGAAATGATCAGAATTTCAGGGATTCCAGAACCCTCTCTCCTCGACCATAAACACTCTAACTCTATTTGAAAATATGTTTTGTCAAGAAAAAAAACCTTTGTCGGCACGAGCACTTGGAGTGATTACGGTAAAGACCTTGTCGTCCCAACCATCAGCTGGTGGAAGAAGTTTTGTACCAGTGGCATCCACTCTAAAATTATGCCTTTCGAAAAGAACCTGTGTAGATCTGACTATACTGGGTACGAGAACGTAAAACGTACGCGACTGCTCTTAGAGCTCCAGTTTTGGGATTTTTATACTTCAATCCAGTGGCTCCAGGAAATGAAGCTTGAAGTGTAGTCATGAATAGGCTATTGTCAGGAGCAGTTGGCAGCTCCATCGCATCGCCTAAAACTCAAATCTGCACTCCAATGACAGTTTAGGTTCGTATAGACGCTATTTTCATATAAGAGTAAAGAGGGAAGTTAGTCCGCTTACAACGAAACTTCAAAGGGAGACTTAGATAGTGCGACATTTAAAAATGCTGTATGTAACTATGACAACCTAACCATCCCACATACAGCTCCAATTCACAAGCGATTGTGATTTGTCAAAGTTTCCAATGGTGCAATGCATCTTCAGATTTTGTCAATGGTCAATGCACCTGTGACTCATAAGGAGAACTGCTCACAATGGCAAAAGTATTGTCGTAGCGCAGTTGCAAGTTTCTCGGTTCGGAAGCTGTAGCATATCGCTTCGGTTCCCGTCAACGCAAAATTTTTTCTGTCATCTATAAACAGCGCACGATCCGAGGACCAAACCCAGGATTGGCTCCTGCCCAAGCCAACCAAGCCTTTTTTCCTAAGCGGACGGTAAATTGGTGCCACTTGATTCGTCTGCGGGAAGATAAAACACGGTTTTGAACATCGAATGGCCTCGGCAAGTCATTATATAGCCCACACTGAATTCAGTAAGCCACTACGATTCTAAATGGAAGTAGCATGCGTGCCGCATCCCGGAAAGGACTGATCAACGGCGAAGACTTTATCCTTTGCCACTTATTAACACTTTTAGCCCCATTCTTGACATCTTAGCGCTTTATCAGTGCGACAGGTCGAGCACATGACATGGTAGGTCAATTAGAGGACCGACGCAGTGCATCCAAAGCACCTTCATGGGACCACGTTGTTTCGCCTACAGCAGGCCCGACAGTATAGTACTTTTTTACAAGTTGCTCACAATATTCTGATGGCTCTTCTTCTTCGACCACATGAAAATGATCACGAAACGGATCAGAGGTGTTGCAGAACCGCAAGCTGTGTGAGAGGTAGTTTCACCGCGAACATCAAATCCTTTTGCGTGAAAATGACGGACCTGCACCTTGTCAAGGGGCAGCTAACGGGGATAAGCTCTCAATATCTTTTGTGTTTTTACCCTCTCATAGCTTGTTCGCGAAATGCAGACAACGTTTTCTCAAAAAGGACATAGAAAAGGTTTATTCATTGCGAGCTTCTTCCCCTTCCATGCCATCTATAAGCCATGAGACTTGATAATCCGTCCTGGACTGCTGACTTGCACTTGACTAACACCTATTTCGGATACTATTCAAATAACTACCCAAAAAAGGCGAAAAAAAAAAAAGGTTTCCACTGGGACTTCGTCTACACGGGTAACTCGATGCCATGTTCACGATTATGAATTCGCTTTTGGCGCTGGCGCCATTTGGCGGCACTGGGCACCAATCATGCGCCACCATTTTTCTCACGGTGTGTATACTGCGGTTATTCGGTGCCCAGATCACTGACATGACATTCATTTTTAGCCCTGGGTCATAACAGCATCACAACCTTTCTCACGAAATCGACAAAGACTGCATAGTAGGGTTGTTTGATTAGGCGTATGGCATTCATTTTCGACACCAGCGCCATTTAGCGCTCTGCTAAGGCTAAGCCTGGGAGAAGGAGTGATTCCTTTCAGGCCAGGCTCAGCCTTAGCAGAGCGCAGATGATCGTAGTGTCTTTCATCAGCGCCAGCGCCAACGAATGAATGTCATATTTGTAATCAGGATGCCGAATAACCTCGCACGTAAAATTTCATCGATTTTGGTGATCAGGGGTATTTCCACGCTGGCGCCTGTGGCGCGAGCGCCAAGCAGTTTCGGGTTAAGTGTATTTGATATTAATGTTCAGGAAGTCAAACTACTACCAAGGACTAATTTTCAGCAATTTCTTTTACGATTTAGGGCGTTTGTGGACAGCGAAAGGCGGTTTCGTGCCAAACGAATGTGACATTTATGTTTACGTGGTCGAACTAAGCGTTCACCTTGAAGACAGCCCCGCGCTCAAGTAGTACATCGTCCTTCCTTGTGCAAGTAGTACAGCCCCCAAGCTAGAGACTATCCCACTCTCGCGACTCCACAGCGAGCGAGGAGCGAGCTACAGCCGCTGAAAGTTCTAGTTCTAACGCCCGCTCAGTTGGACCGCCCACTTGCTAGATGCCCTCCGACGGAGGGCCAGCTCAGTTGTTCTTTGTTGGGGCGGCGGGCATTAATCGGAATTGCATGTCCTTTTCGCTGACAGCGCTCGTGCCCATGAATGATTCTGCTCTCCTTTATTACATTTTATTAATCAGGAGCACATACAGCGTTTCGTTGTGGAAAAGCTCGACGCACTTCACTACTTCAAGATGTGCACGCTACCGTAACCCTAAAT